GCTTAAAGTTTTGTAGGATTATATGATATCTTAATAATCTGTGTAATACCAAAAACATAATTTTCACATCGGAGAGTTCAAATAACGGGAGAAAATCCTTGTAAATGGGTCTTCCACTATACCCACACGCTCACTCTATCCGGGTCGCGTATTCGAGATTTGTTTTCCCGGAGGAGAGCTGTCATTAAAATCGTATTTGTCTTTAGCCAATGGCAAGATTCAGGCTATGAATCACATACAATCAGATGTGCTTGCTTTCCAGAGATTAATAGGTGGTCCCTGGAATGGGGTTTCCCTGGCCATTGTCTCTGCCTTGGTTTACTCTGTCTGTCTGTTTGTCTGGCTCTGTCTGTCTGTCTGTTTATCTGTCTTTGTCTGTTTCTGTCTCTGTCTGTCTGTCTGTCTGTCTCTCTCTCTCTCTCTCTCTCTCTCTCTCTCTCTCTCTCTCTCTCTCTCTCTCTCTCTCTCTCTCTCTCTCCATCGATCTCTCTGTCCCTGTCTCTGTCTGTCTGTCAGTTAGTCAGTCAGTCTGTCTGTTTGTCTGTCCTTCTCTCTGTTTGTCTGTCTCTCTCTCTCTCTAGCTATCTCCCTGTCTATCCCTGTCTCTGTTTGTCTGTCTGTTTGTCTGTCTGTCTGTCTGTCTGTCTGTCTGTCTGTTTCTCTCTCTATATATATGTATATATATATATATATATATATATATATATATATATATATATATATATATACATTTATTTATATATATCAATTACACACACACACACACACACACACATGTAGATACATATATCATTCCAATTATCTAAACACAGATACATATGTAAACATTAAATATGTAAACATAAATTAATATCTCTTATCACTTGTTACTCGACTTAATACTTTATGATAATTAATCAGCCAGGAATGACTTTTAGATTGGTACAAAATCTTCTTGAATGTCTTCATCAAAAAATCTTTCTTGTACTTATTTATAAATTTCAGTAGAACAGTTTCTATATTTGGCTCGAAACGACTGGATGAAAATATAAATAGAACATAGATAAGCACTATGACGTGAGCTAGATTGTTTGCTTGTTTTGGTCACGTGGCAATGACTGGTTGACTGACCAGGTCCGGTAGAGGGGGAGGGGGAAGGGGGAGGGTTGTGGTAGGCTTTCGTGGAAGGAAATCTGTATATCAGTATTCTGTATCTCTCTCTCGCTCTCTTTGTCTGTCATTTGTATGTATATACTGTATATATAAATATATACAGTATATATATGTATATATACATACTGTGTGTATGTGTGTGTGTATATATATATATGTATATATATATATATATATATATATATATATATATATATATATATATATAATGTATATATATATATACATATATATGTATATATATGCGTGTGTACGCGTGTGTGTGTGTGTGTGTGTGTGTGTGTGTGTGTGTGTGTGTGTGTGTGTGTGTGTGTGTGTGTGTGTGTGTGTGTGTGTGTGTGTGTGTGTTACTATAACACACACGAGCACACACCCCCTCCCCCTCCCCAGCCCCTATCGACATCCCGGTTCCCTTCAACAGAAAACGCCCAGAGAAGGTCGTTCCGAATCCTTCCATTGATCTCACTCCCAATGACGTATTTCCTTATTAACTGATTTCCTCTTTAACGTCTGCGAGTCATCCCTTCAGCGAAATGCGCGTCACGGCAGCGGAATTACGCTAAACAGACGCAAAATGCCTGTCTCTTTTTTCCTTCTGATTTACGTCGGTGGTTTGCGAGTGACTGACAAGCCGTTTTGTTAATGTTGTTTGAGTAGAGACTAGGAGAGGAGGAGGGGGGGGGGATGAGAAAATGGTATGGTCATTTTTAGTTTTAGAGAATTTATTTCAATTCTTCTTCGTCTTCTTCACTTCCTTCCTTTCCCTATCTTTCTTCTTCTTTCTTCCCTCTTCTTCAAAATGAACAAAAAGGAAAGAAAAGAAAAAGTAGAGGACACTACTTCGGTGGTTTATGAGAAAATGTTATGGTCATTTTTAGTTTTATAGAATTTATTTCACTTCTTCGTCTTCGTCACTTCTTTTCTTTCCCTATCTCTCTTCTTCTTTCTTCCCTCTTCTTCAAAATGAACAAAAAGGAAAGAAAGAAAAAGTAGAGGACACTACTGCGGTGGTTTCGCGAAATGTTGTTTGTAAGCAATGGCTCCTTGAGATTAGATTAGCCTGTTACCTTACTTTGTTGGTTTGTAAACACTTGTTCCTCTACAAGAACATCGCCTACATTAGCTGTCATTCTTATTTTATACGTGCGATTAATAGTGAGGTCTATTTGCTTTTTTGGTGAATGATGGAAGTGCAAAAGAACTATTCCTTGTATAACTTTTGGAGGAAATGCATACTTACGAGGAAGATGCTGATGGACACGAAGGAGGGGAAGAAGAGGGGGGGGTGGAGAGGGAGATATGGGGAAGGGGGAGAAGGGAGGGAGGTGGAGAGGAAGGAGGAAGGGAGAGAGGGAGGGGGGAGGTGTACGAAGCTAGGAATTCAATGCTAGTTATGAATGTGATGTGGGTTTACTGGGCATGTGGGCATAGTGGGCAGTTCGCTCCTGACTTGCCTGTGGTGCTGACACTAACACGCTTTCGCCATCATTCAAGATAATCGATTTTTTAAAACTCGGATGTGGTTCTTTGAATGCTTGTGTTAACTGCAATCAGTTGTTGTATTAACAACGGTTTGTCCCTTTTAATGGCAAGCGGTTCTTTGCAATCTTAATGTGATTCTTTGGATATTTACTGTTGACGCAGAGGGTACAGTTTGAAAATAATTATATGCCAATCAAATATGTGCTGTGATATAAAAGTTTTACAATGAGAATGGAAGAGAGCGTACGTGGCTGAGAAGTCTATTTATTCTACCTTCCGAGAGATTACGTATCACCGCGAAGGATAATCAAATCAGCCAGACTTTGAACACAACAGGAGGGTGTTCATTTCGACCAGAGCCATTGCCACATAACGACTGGAAATTAAGATACAAAATGGCAGCCAGGGAATCCATCTCCTACCCTTCCTCCTCCTCCTCCTCCTCCTCCTCTTCCTTGAATTCCTTGGATACCGCCCTTCGCGACGCCCTCGCCCGCGCCCTCGACAAAGGGCGGGCTTCCACGGGCGAGACGAGGGAGAGGATGAGCCATTACTACTCGTGCAGCGTGGAGGCGGTGAGAAACAAGGTCTCCGGTAAGTCTAGGAATCTTCAGGGGAGATGGAAGGATCTCCCGGGCCTGCAGGAGGCGCGCGAGAGAGCGCTGGAGGGCCTGAAGGGCGCCGGGAGGGTCCTCGTGTGCTTTGCCGGAGGAAGGGACGGAGGCTCGCCCAGGGCCGCGTACCAGCGACTGGATAATGACTTCGTGAGTTTTTTAAGGGTCCTTTTGGGCGCGGTGTTTCGTTGGGGAGATTTTATTATTTAAAAGTGTAGTCAGATAAATGCAAGCCTCTTCCTGCAATTGCTGCTCGTCTCAGTGTCAGCCTCTCTCATACCCATACATTTTCTCAGCCTGCGTGTCAATCTACCTCCCATTTCTTTGCCTCCAGGACGAAGCTAACGAGTGGCCCTACAGCTCGACTTCGCCCTCGACTTCCCCTTCGACCTCGCCGTCACCCTCGCCTTCGACCTCGTCCTCCACCTCGCCCTCGGAGCCTCTCCCTCGCCTCCGCGCCCGCGTCGCCCTCGAGCTGTCCAGGGCGGGCAAGTGGCTGGTGGCTGGCCTTCGAGGTTATGCCGAATCTGTCAATCCTACCATGGCCTACGACGCCCAGGCCAGGCACAGGCTACACGTCGCCAGCTCGGGCTACCCAACGACCTTTCCCTATGCCTTGTGAGGAGAGGGCTTTGGCGACAGCGAGAGGTCGGGGTGTATGGATAAGGATGTGTCTGTTGTATGTATTTCCTTATACCTTATGAAGAGGGACTTTCTATATCAGTGTGTACAGTTTTTATACTTCCCTTGTTAATGCGAGGCTAGATATATTTTATGAAACTCGTTTAGGTTAATATATGACGGGTAGTTACTTTTTATGTGATGTATGTGGATGTGCTGTTGATATAATTTTTAATATATATTTTATAATTGGAGGGTTTACATTGCTTTGCATTTAGCATGAATAATGCCAATTTTGCACATATCCTTTTGTAAATATGTGCCCACATAAGTGTCTTTTAAAGTAATATTTTTAAATGTGTATATGAATATGCAACATATACACAAAAGATGAGCTTATATATATATATAAACAAATATTATATGTTATTTACCTGTGTATCAATTGTAAGTTCCATGTAACGAACTGACATTTTATTCTTACTTGTATTTTTAATCAAATATGTTATGTGAAAACTGTGTTTAGTACTGTAAAACCCTTAAATGTTATGGCTTATTTTAATGTACTTTTTCCATAATAATTAAAGATACTAAACCGTTAATGAGACTTTCGTAAAATACATTTCAAGTTGAAAATGTTTGCCTGTGGCTTGTGTATTCCATCAAGCTGCATATCCCAACAAAAATTTTATATATTAAAATTTAATTGACATCAGGGGAGCATGCTGTAATTATCCTATTTTTTTCAGTAAAAGTGTTTGTTTGGAAACGGTAAAATATTAATTGAGTACTGTGCAAAAGATTATTGCTCTCATATATAGTCATATATCAAAACATCTCTAATGTAAAACAGATCTTTCAATATTGTCTTGTATGCATTTTGCATGAAAAAAATAGGTATACATTTCTGTCTGCTTCATTAACATTCGTACGGTATCTACATAGACTTAAGATCAAAATAAAACTACTATATTGGTTTTAAATTCAGTTGTATATATTTTATAAGACATTTAATATAAAAAAAATTTAAGTAAATAAAATTCGCACATATATTGTGAAGAACATACTTGACATATTCATCAGAACTTCCATTATTTCAATTGCAAAACTGTATGGGCAATAAAACATTGATTCAGTATCTTATATCGCTTTTATTCATTCTGATGAGCTCCCTGAGCGCATATCAATAAAATGGATGAGGAAAAAAAAAAAATTAATGACAGAAATATTGGTTTTAACTGATCGTACTCTACAGAAAATTATGATTAATGATGAAAATGTTGGTTTTAACTGGATAACAACTCTACAGAAAATTATGTTTTAAGGCAAAATTAGGCGTGATAGTTCTGAGATCTCTTGAACATCACAAGATTGATTTTAATGAACTGCTTTTATATTAACATGGATTGTCTTCAGCAGATACAAGCCTAAATTGTAATCTTAAAAAAAAAAAAAAAACGGAAATCCAAAATTTCTTCTTGTTGAAAATTTGAAAAATACAATTAGTTCTAAAATAATTATGGCAATAATTACTTTAAAAAATTATGGCATAAAAATATTCTTGGCTTTTGGAATATTCTCCTTGCCAAAGTGAGAGAAAATGTCTTTAATATAAATAATTCATTCATTAATGAAAATAATAGTACTAATAATAATGGCAATTATACCAAAGATAATGACAATAATAATAATAATACTACAAATAATAACAATAATGACTGCTATTATTATTATCATCATCATGATTATCAATATTATCATCATTATTAATAAACATAAAATAATTTCCTCCAATCCATAGTGAAAAAAAAAGAAGAAAAATCTAAAAATAATAATTCAGAAAACACACACAATATGTTCTTTTAATTCTAGACTCAATCCTAACATCTCTAAATGACAGATTATTTGAACAGGTCGTTAACAGCTGATGCTATTGTCTTCACTTCCTCACAATACATTTTCTTTCTTTTTGATAAGAAAAAATAATAATAATAATAATAAATAAAAAAAGTAATGCTAATAGTAATGCTGATGCTGATGCTGATGCTGATGATGATGACAATAATAATAATCATCATAATAATAATAATAATAATAACAACAACAATAGTAACAATAATAATAATGATAATGATGACAATAATAATAATTATTATAATAATAATAACAAGTACAATGATGATGATCGTAATAATAATGATGAGAGGAGTAATAATGATAATGATGATGATAATAATAATAATAATAATAATAATATCAATTATCATCCTACTACTAATGATGATAATAATAATAATAATAATATTCTTAGAGATCCACCCATTCTCAAAAATGTATCCATTCTGAACAAATTTTTTTTTGGGGGGGGAAAAAAAAAAATACATAAATAAATAAAAAAATAAAAAAATAAAAATCTGCTGCACCTGACTTACTGAAAAGGAATTCCGTGCAGCGTTAGACTTTTTGCGAGGGAGTCAAGGTCAAAATGCAAACCAACGGCTACGTAAAATGACGTAGAATTCAGGCTCATGATAGCACAAAATCGTAGAAAAATTTATTATCTTCTTTTTTTTTTTTATCATAATGTTAAACAGGAAAGGAAAGACAGATTAGAAGAGAATGAAAGAGAGAGAAAAGAGAAAGAAAAGAAAAGAAAAAAAAAAACACACATTTACAACAGGGACAACAATAAAAGGAAATACAAACAAACAACACAAATTATATACACAGATATGCGAATAAGAAAAAAAAAAAAAAAGATATGACTATACATTCCACCTTATAAGCACTAACAATAAAACACAACCCCAAGGTACATGCCTCCAGAACCGTTCACAAGATGGAATGGTGGAGAGCCGTTTCCAAAATACTTTGAGCAATTTCCAACATCTTTTATTTTTTTTTTTTTGTAAAGCAAGACCAAAGAGGCAGGATTAATTTCATCTATAATGCTGATGACAAAAAATGCAAAACAGAAGGTTTTTAAAAGTTATCATTGCATTAATGGATTTTTTTCTTCTTTTAAAGTCAATGAAATTCTATATCAAAGGCAAATAAGAAAATTTACATTAGTAATCAAAACTCTCAAAAATGTTATCTAATTTCCATTTCTCTGAATCAAATTAATGCTCATTTCAATTAAGTACGTCTTAATGTTCCAGGTGCATTTTTTTCTTTTTCTTCTTTCTAATGCAAAAAGTACCAAGAAAAACCTGATAATCAAACAAACACAAACAACATATTCAAGCTTTCTCTCTTTCTCTCTCTCTCTGTTCCCCTTCATTGTCTGTGTAAATATGAGAAAAGATATTTGAGCAAGCCAAAACCTGAAGAAGAAACACAAATACCAAAAGAAAAAGAAAAAATTGATGAAATCTAAGCTACACTTGTAATGCATGTAATGTCAAGTTTTGCCAAAACTACAATTAAACATTTGCATTCTCATGTACCTTAAATGACGCTGAAGATTTATTATCCTACAACAAGGATTCTTTTTTCCCCTTTTTCCCAACACCCCACCAAAACTATTAGATGAAAATAGTAGAACTATATGATTTACAACTATAAGCAAAACATTTTGTCATAATCTTGTAAACATAAGATAAAAAATATAATAGGCAGAAGAGAGGGAACAATATATCCCGTTAGAAATATTTTTTCATTGTAAACTGCAATATAAATCAGGCTATTCATTAATTCCTTAACATGTTTAACTCTTTTACTAAATAAAGATGTCAATTCATTCACTCACAACATCACTTTATCTGCACGTCATCACACCACAATCTCAAACACTAAGGAAACTCCAAATTTAGAACAAATGCCAAGACACATGTGAAGTGCAGTATTTTTTCAGAAGTGGGAAATGATTTGTCTCAGCCAATTTTCCTTTTTCTTTTTTTGAAAATATCAATGTTGCATTCCAAAACAAGTTGGGAAAAGACCCCATCACAGACACCATTTGTTAAATATAACCTTTTTTTTTCATCTTTTTAAGTAATTTTTTTTTATTCTTTTCAAGTGTTTTAGGGCCAATAAAAAAGATGAAGCACAAAAAAATAAATGATTCTTAAGACAAAAACCAAAGCACACTTCATAATTAACTATAAGGACAGACAGAATTGTGGTAAGAGCAATATTTACATATCAAATTATTTCTATCAATCTCTTTATACAAATATATATTTATATATATATGTATGCATGTCTATGTCCATTATCTATTATAGTAATGTGTATATCACAGCAGACGTAAAACAGGTGGCTTCCCCCCATGGACAAACACCCCCCAGGCCACTCGTGGGGCTAGAGTTCATCATGGGTGGGCTTGTGAGAGGGCTCTTCGCCAGAGAGGCTGGCTACGTCTTTCGGCGCGGGGGAGCCCTTCCTCATGAGGGAGTTCAGAGTCCTCAACAGCTCCCCCTGATGCCTTGGGTCTCCCTCCCCTGGTAGCAGAAGCTCCCTCTCATCCTCCACCTCTTTCCCCTCCTCTGATCCCACCGAGAACAGTCTCTGAATTTCTCTGAGGTATGTGAGCTTCATTCTCTGCCGCTTGATGTCCCTGACGATGAGTTTTTTGGCCTGCGTCAATACGCGGTAATGGGCATCCTCATGAAGAGACTCCTTCCCCCTGGACCCTACTGCCCCTTTGGTGAGGCTTGTGATCCTCTCCAACACCTGCAGGAGCCGAGTGGTGTTGGCCGTGAGGGAGTGGTGGAGCTGCGTGGTGGCCAGCCTGGCTGCACGCAAGACCTGCTCCTGGCACTGGTCTTGGCAAACAGAGAGTGCCAGGGCCAGGCGGTGAGCAGGGCCAAGGCTGCTCACTAGGAATGACATCAGGTTTGCCGGGGTCAGCTGCTGACTCAGGTCGAAAATTCTGCTCTCACTTTTGCTGGAGGGCAAGAGAAACTATTATAGATGGAGTAACTATAAATTTCATAAAATAATCCCAATCTTGATAAATATGTTGTCAAATCTTAAAAAGCACAAAAATCATTCTAATATTAAACATCTTTAATGTATAGATTTTACAAACTTTTATCATACATCTAACGAAATCTAAAATCTAAAAAATTATCATCACTCACTGGACATGCGGATGAACAATGATGGTTGGGAGCGCATCAAAGTGCAGGTTCCAGGGAAGCGTGTTGGTGGCAACATTAATCCTGGCAAAGGTGATGTTGGGCAGGTGTCTGGCCGCCTGCGCCACAGCCATTAAAACATGGCCAACTGTGGTACAAGCAGCACAATTCCCACTGTAGTGGAGCACCACCACCATCTGAAAGGGAAAGAAAAATGAAGTTAGCAGCTCAATTTTAGATACATGCTTATATGAGCTAAGAATTGAATAAAGGCAGAAGGTCGTGTTGCTTCAAACAAAACTTGATTAAAACCAACTGCTGCTTTGTTTCTAACCACATTGGTGATTCCACAATGAAACTTGTTCCTCTGGAAAGTGATGCAACCTCTATTACAAGCCCAGACATCCTTGCTGATAGTGCAGCCATGCATCCCTAGTCAAAACAAGTGCCTGTACCTTGACAGAATCTACTATTACCATCCATTGTAGAAAAATGTCCAATCTGTCATCATATGTATTATGTGGGGGCCAAGGATGACTTGGACGGACTCCTCCAACATGGTGGCAGTATCTGCTGGACTGGCTCGAAATGTGCTATACCTTGTATTCTGCTTCCACTTTTAATAGCCACAGGTGTGGTTTGTTTAGATGGACAAAGACTGAAAGTGCCTTCCACTAAATGATCATTTCATAGGGCGCAGGCCAGCAATTAGTGGCAGTCAAACTGGAGGCATCAGCTTCCATTCCGTGGACATATTCAGGAAATGATGTAGTGGCCACTGAATGGATGTATAGTGCAGCCCACAGATGTATAACAAGAAAATACAAGCTTGAGTCAAGGTGTTGGCAACGACCATACCCTACCGTCTGATTCTTTCCATATACTTCCCTCAAACTCCAGACACACACCAACTCCCCCACACTCCACTACCTACCTTTCCTGGCTCCTGCGTGACCTCTGCGTAGTCCCTAGACGTCAGCTCCCGAATGCACACCTGGCCCTCCTCACACCTTGACCCTCTCACCGAGCCCCCAGACAGCATGGTCCTGCAAGAAAGGTGAAATGGGGTGAAAATACAGAAATAATAATGTAATATGATAATAATAATAATGATAATGATTACCTAAAACAAATAATGTTATACTATGAAAGTGGACAAGCTAAACAATGAAAGTAATAAAGATGATAATAACAGAAAATAATAAGAACAGAAGATAAAGAATAAGGTAAAGAAGAGAACACAAGGGGCCCAAAAGTTGCACAAATTCACTATATCTTCCTTCTTCCTTCTTCATACCTTCTCCGTCATTACCGAAAAAAAGCAGAGTGACAGAGTAAAAAAAAAAATGAAAGGCTTCAAAGGATAAAGATAATGGCCCACACTTTACAACCCAATGATCACAAAACAGTATACAAAAAATAACAAAAATCAAGTATAAATAACAAAAAAGAAATGTATTCACTTTCACTAATTACCACAGGACTTACAATGGCCTTGCTGGCTACCATGCAAAATAAAAATCCTAAAAGACACACACACACACACAAACAAACACGGGTGAACATAAATAGCTACACTACATCTACAACATAATTAAGACTATCCATACTTTGACCATCCTTTAGAAGGATTATAATGGCACTGATGACTATTTTGCCCTGATAAAAAAAATATTTCTAATTATATAAAATGTATGCTTGCTACTACATATATTCAGGCCTTGGCTCTGTATTAGAGGATGAAGCATTAACCCCAGCATTTTTTCCCGACATAATGGTAATGTCACCCATATCTAATGGGTTAAAAAAAGAAAAAAAAAAGAAAAGGAGAATGATAAGAAAAGGAAAAAGACTAAGCATAGGGGACAAGAAAGGAGAAAGAAAGAAGAGGAAGAGGAATGAGTATATTGGATGAGCATCCCTCCCTTACCAAATCTGAAAAAAAAGGTCTTCCACTCATCTTACAACAAAATTAAATATTCTCTGAGAATCATCATGACATTCATTACTATATTATTACATCCCTGGTCTACAAACTAGTATCACCCCAATGCTGCAGGGAATATATAATGTTCGCTGTAGTTTTGTTTTGTCTCTTCACAGAGATGGCTCCACATGTGCCCAGCCACCAAGGAGTCAGCTAACAATCTACATGACCTTCCCTGATTTTCCTGTCCTGAGTTTTGGGGCATTTTTTTTTCTATTTCCTTTTACTAATGCTATCAATATCAAGGCTGGGTATTATCATAAAAGACATTATAAATAACACTGTTATTCAAATTACTAATAGCTGAAAATTGGGGAAAAAGGGTTAATAGGTACAATAGGTACTTCTAGTAACTGACTCCTTAATGTCTAAGCACTTGTGGAGCCATCTGTGTACTGATAATTAACCCACTGGATCCAGGTGTGTCACTGCCTGCACATAGCCCAAAGTCCAGGTATTAGGCTTACTTGAGCAGCCACTCTCCTCAGTGTGTGACTTGTAGCCTGGACACGCATGAACACTCAGGTGCGGTGCCAAGATTGCATTATTATCTCTCTTTTTGCTAAAGCATTTTTTGCTTTTTTGCCATTTTCCAATATCTATATTTGTCATTTGACATGCTGCTCTAGATGGTAATAGACCGTTTTCCTTGCACAGACATATCATCTCCCAAGGTAGTCCATATTTCAGTGCAATACTAACAGCAATTAGTAAAATTCTGTTAGTGTCATTTCCTTTTTATTTCTTAACCCCTTCACGACGGGTCACGCCTAGAGGCACATAAACAAACAGCTGAAAATGTGACGTGCGGCTGTACACCATAGCGGCTCGCCAATGCACGGCGAGCTGGAGATTCGGCCTGATGTACCGAACTCCCGCACTCAGAGTCGGCATGCTGCCATTGATCACCAGAGCAGAGAGTTTTTTTTTAGTTTTCTTAACCTGTCACCAAGGGGTTAATATTCAATTTTCTGTAATATAATCTGTGCCAGCACTCTTCCAAGTCATGGCTCATGGATGGTACATTCCACACTTAATTACTGACAGGAATAATGCAAGAGCCCCTTCCTAAATGCCCACTGAGTCTAATGACCTTCCAAGAGCTTTGTGCACTCATAGCAAGTCTTTATCACCACCCCAGCCTTCAGCCAAAATTCAAACGAAGGTATGTTCCCGTCACCCTAGCCCTCAGCCAAATTTTTCCATAACTGCATGTTTATCCCTCAAACCAAGTTTTTTCATACGATGGTCCTGTCACCCAGATCCAAAGGATCAATAAATTAAACACACAGTGGGCATGGCATGTACATACATGCCATGGCAGTAATGGTTTACATGGGGCACTTTGTAAATAACTAGTGACAAACTTTGCATTAGTGTATTTCCATTATTTACCAATGTCAGGAATTTCTCAAATGGTGATTAACATACTGATAACTCTGCATCAGTTAATCTATTCATGATACAATGACCTGCATTTCTTGAAAACTGATTCCCACCAAGGAGCAGGGGAACATAAACCCAGAATAATTATCACGGTGTATTATCTGCATTATCTTTCGGAGCAGAAAGACAGACTAAGAGACGTATTACTTGGCCAAGAGATTACGAAAGCAATTGCAATAATAACAAATTCCAAGTCCATACAAGCAATAAAAAAAAGTTGCACTACTTTTGCAATTACAGCTAGCAGCTTACAAGATGTTTTGGGTGTGTTTAAGCAACATCCTTTTTAAGCTATACAGGACTATTAGTGTCTGGGTCTCGTCTAAGCCACCTGCGACTGTTGCTTACCTGTGCAACTTCCCCAGAACTTAGAACAAGACTGCAAAGAAAGAAAATGTTCAACGGAAATAGTACCATTCACGACAAAGAATGAGAGGTAGGCCAGGTCAAGTCATTCATTGCAAGAGAGAGAAACTCCTTGTAATTTCAGTAAAGAAAATTTAATGCAGTTAAAGAAAAATAATAATGACAATAAAATTTAAATATTAATTATCACAATAAAGCAATTACACAAAAGATGTACATTCTTCTTGCCCAAAACATGTTGTATTCAAGTCTACAAGTATGACATGCCAAACTATTATATCAAGATCAAAATCACTTCATATGCAAAGCATTAAGAAAATCCCTCTCGACATGTATTAAAAAGACCAAAAAGAGATAAAAAAAACTTTTTTTTTTTTAACAAAATGAAAGCGAGAAACAAAAGCCAGTAAAACTTAAAAGAAAAAAAAAAAGGGAAAGCACAGACCATTCATTCTGCTAGCCCATCATGCCAGCAAAGACTACTTAATAAAAAACATAAAAATAAAATAAATAAACCTTATCTAGAACCAAAAATAAATAAATAAAAAAATGTAGCCTATACATACACACATATATACATAACCAACAACACTCCCACCCACATATTAACACATTCATGAACACATGAATGAATAAATGAATGAATGAATGAATGAATAAATGAATGAATGAATGAATGAACAAAAAAACAAAAAAACAAATAAACAATTATATGAACCATTCTAAGAAAAGAAAAACGTAAAGGCCTCATCCTCACCTGTCCAAACTACCACTGGTATAGTTGAGCACAAAGGCGGCCAGCGCAGCTTTGGAGAGCGGAGCGTCCATGACGAAGTGGGCCTCCCGCTGGGTGTCTAGGATGACTACGGCCGTGTTGTGTGGTTCTGGCGAAGTCAGGTTGATGCCCAGTCGCTCAGCCAGCCGGCGGTGACGCAGCGAGTCCACAGCAGCAAAGGAAAGGGTATGGTTCCTCTGGCAGCCCAGGCCTAGGTGAGAAGGCAGGTAAAGATCAGGAAGATGATGCAGGAAGGTGATGTAGCAGGTGGAGATAAAATGATAGAATAGGATGGGGAGGATGAGGATAAGAATGGTAGGAGGAAGAAGAGGTGAAGGCATAGAAAACATTGGCCAAAGCAATGTAAATTGTTATTTTTGTAAAAAAATATTTTCTTGGAGCTAACGTGTTCCATTAAATCTAAATCTTGTAGTTAGCAGTTTTAACCCATATCTGCCGGGCCAAGCCTATTGCCATCGTAACAAACAGTCTCAAGTTGCCACATATGGCTATAAGCATTGCGACGCACTAGAGCACGCTGAGCAGAAAGTTCCATGTAGCGGACTCCTGGGCCTCGAAGCCTCCAGAGTCAGTGACACAGAGAGATTTCTGATACCGTTATTGTGGGGTTAATCATTCACCTCCTACTATTTACTAGCAAAATATAATGTTCCTAATAAATCTTCTTCTTTAATAAGTCCATGCTACATTTCCTGAGATAAACCTGCATAAGTGATTTTCCTTTTCTTTTATCACAGTAAAAAAAGCACTTTAGAAAAAAGTAATTTCCTATAAGATGTTCCATTATGGTGCAGTTTGATAATCACATGCTTAATAATATTCACATCTATTTATAACCAACCCAAACATTGTTGAGCGTGGTGTTAATGAGAACAAATAATTTCAGATTTTTCTCCAGTTTGTCATTTTATCTCTATTCATAGTAAGATCAACAAGGGCAGCCCATACAAAGCTCAACCATCTGTAAACTTGAGCTGGAAGCCTGATCATGCACAAACTACAACCTTTCCCTTGGGTAAATGTCATCCCCTCACATCACTGGAACTCTAGTCACCTGTTATGTCTGGGGCATCATGCTGCTCCTTGAGCAAGGAGGGGGGAGCCAGGAGGGACCCATGGAACAGTCGCTTGCACTGGTCTTCTGCGGCAAAGGCAACCAGTTTCTCTATTCGGTCATCGGTGTGGCCCTCCATAACCTGTTCAAATATCAAGATGAATAAGCAAATAAAATCTTATAGTTAATCTTGGCCTTTACTCTGAATCATGTTTTTAAAATAACAAAAGAATAACAAATCATCTCAAAATCTGATTATTCTGACACCTTGAATACAACCAAGCAATTGCAATTCTTTTTCCCTTCTGTATAAATGAGACTGATTATTGCCACAAAATCTGAGAAAATAAATACTGAAATAAACATTTCCTTCACCACTCACCACATCATCTGCCACTTTCTTCTCCTCGGCAACGGGGGTTTTGGGCGAGGTTTTGGTCTTGGCAGGAGTGCTGTTCCGCTGGCAGCACACCGAGTAGTGTTCCCAGGGGCTGTACTGCAGGACCAGCTCCCGGCAGGAGTCACTGAACACGGACATGAGCGTGTTCACGTGCTGGAGGAGACTGGACTCTTGCTCCCTGGAAGTGAGGGAGACGGAATTACCAAGAGAGTATTTGCAAGGGGGGGTGTCTACCACTGCTCCTGCTTGTTCACCTACTAGATGACAGATTTTTAAACATCAATATTTATACTGCTGATACTATCATTATCATCAATACAATACGATATACTACCCCTTCTTTGCACCAATTTTTCTATTCAATCATCTATTCTTCATTCTTCTATCTCCTTCCCTACACAAACATAATATATATATATATATCAATTTTTCTATTCAATCATCTATTCTTCATTATATCTATCTCCTATCCTATATATACATATATATAATATATATATATATATATATATATATATATATATATATATATATATATATATATATATATATATATATATATATATATATATATATATATGGGGTATAAATAACAATATCATAAAAGCAGCGTATTTTCCCTCCTCAGAAAAACAACGCACAGACTTACCATGAAGTTGGCTTGGTGCAGTGCATGTGCTCAGGGCTGGTAGGTTTGCTGGCCGGGTGGACACACACATCGCACACCTTGTCGTGGTGGCTTCCCCCAGGGGACACAGTGCGCTCTCCTGGCATGGTGCGGCAACATGTCTCGTCTGGATTTACGGATCCAGAGGAGGAAGTATATATTAATGTGTTACTTAAACTTCTTTGTATTTTGAAAGACAATTTGATACATACTAATCTGAAGTGCTGTCTAGAACATTTATATGAAAATGCAAGCTGTCAGTTAATATAGTTTAATATACATCAGAGAACTATGAGCTAATACTTTAGAATGTAGCCAAAAAAACTTTCCTTCAAATTTGGAAAGATTGGTAAGAACTCTGATGCACCACATGAACCATACTATAGAACAGCAAACAATAAAGGATATACAATCATCCAACCCCAGTTCTTGCAAAATTACACTTCCCCAAACCTCTAAACCCCAAGCAGTACCTTCTAGATTTAGTTGCTCTCGGGAAAGATGCAAGATGCGCAGCTGTTCTTGGAGGTAGTTTTTGCAGACCCGCTCAGCCTGTCGCAGTTGCCTTCGCCCTCTGGATCGCACTGAACCAAGGTAGTTAGCCAAATTGTTGACTCGTGTTGATCGATTGCAATTATTGTAGTCTAGTGAGACTTCGCGGAGCTGTATGTAGGGGATGTCATTTCAGGTTAACGAGAAAAATAAATAGAAGAAATTCTGCTATGAAGGATTCTATAGTTTAAATTTAAAAAATGGAAGATGCAGTATCTACTTTTTAAAAAATGTCTTGAACATTCTTTTTGTATGTTTGCTTTAGAACAGAATACTATAACAAGCAAAGAAATAAAACCCTTCCAGCTCCTACAATATATAGATTTTTTTATCAAAATATCTAAAGGAACTCTACCCTCTTTTTACTTCAGCCTGCAGCTTCAAAACAAGAACTAAAACCCAACACACTTTAAAACATCTAACATAGTGACCTTCCTAATGGAATGAACTCCTTCCCTATATACCAGCTCACCAAATTAAAGGGATCGTTGGCTGTGTGATAGGGGTTATCTGGGGTGAAGAGAATTAGCGCAGGCCCCTTCTGCAGCAGCCGGTCCAGGGCCAGACTCTTGGTGCCCGGAAGGTCTACCCATGCTGCCGTCTCATCCAGTCTCTTCAGCACCCAGTTGCTGATGCCCTCGCTGTCAGCATTCGCAGCGCCTGTGAATGACTGAAGAAACATGGAGGATTAGAGCTGTGCTGGTGTTTGCAGTTTGATTTATTATTACTATGAACATCATATACCTACAGTCCTGCATAAATCTTACATAATTATGGTATCACTTCAGAAAATTGGATGATAAAATCTAGTGTTGTTGTTTATCTAAGTATACTTTGGAAATTTCCCTTATACTTCCAAATACACCTAACCCTCTGCTACTGTGCATTATTGGTTGCGTACATGTGTGTAAAGGTGGAAATACACTGTAGCAGAACTGAAGTAATAAGGGGAATAATTTTGTATATCTTCCTATAAATACTGTCCTAACAAGAAACATTCTAAGTAGTTACAGGTATGAGTGAGAATGAATAACCTTATTCTGCAAAAGATGTGGCTGACCTATTTTGATTCTATCATCATCAGACATATAGGTGTCAGCAAGCTCATTAACCATAATATCAGACATTAGCTGAAAATTCACCTGACATCGATTCTGTGACCTGTTGCCTGTTATCTGCCTTACATCTAAATTCCTCATACGACCACAGTGTAATATCTCTGAGGCAATAAGCAGTTGCTTTGTTAATACTGTACATGTATGTCCAGCTAAAATGTAGAAGGTTTAATGCAAGATAGAGGGAAATCTGCAAATATCCACTGCAAATGCTGGAGCAGGTGCAATAAAAGCTTATGGAGAAATGGGACATGGCTGCAACACCAGAATTTATGCTATGGTGGTGCACATAAGAGGAAACTGAACAAGTGATAAATAGTAGAATATAAATAGTAATAAATGGAAAATATAAAAGAACAAAATAAATGCTGCTTCATGTTAGAACATAAAACAACACAATGCTGAATATATCAAGAACAGAAAATAACAAAATAACCTTTAGGTGTAGGTTGACAGAACTTTCATTTGCAAGATCATCCACGAAGGCATAGTTGTAAATCTTTCTTTCGTCTGTCTGACAGTTTGTGCATTTGCAATTTGTAATCAGTCACCCATAACTCTTACACTTGTATGACCTACCAAGAACCTGCACAGCTCATAACAATGGCTGATGCCTGCGACAGTTTAACTTGGCATAACATAAGGCGACATCATTAGAAAAATGAAGGATGCACTGTATCAACAGTGTACTTTGGTACATGTCAGCAGAGGGATGTCAACTTTTGAGATGTGTGATAAAAGTAATTTGCAATAGCAGAACACACAATAGCAGAAGGTTGAGTGTCACTGAAAAAATTCATACATACACTAATAATACACATGACATGAATACCAGTAATAGAAAGAAAGAACTCACACCAGCTAGACACAAACTCACCAGCGTGGTGTTCCAGAGCACCAGATGAACGGACTTGGTGCCGTTGAAGGAGAGCGCTCGGGCCGTCTGGGGATTAGTGACCACGCCCCAGGCTATGGTGTTGGTGTTGTCGTGTTGTAAGGCACGGAGCGAGGCCAAGTAGAATGACATGAAGCCCTTAGGGAGATGCACAGAGGACGTGAAGTCGTAGTAGCCTAGGACGGTCGCCTGCAGCAAAAAGTTTGTTAGCTATTCTGTAATTACTAATCATATGGTCATTAATTTATTATCTAGATACTTCAGGGATACTCAAAATCCAAGTTGGAAGTCTGATGAAATTTCAGTATGAATTATTCATCTTTTATCAAAAAATTATATAGGTACACACACACACACACACACACACACACACACACACACACACACACACACACACACACACACACACACACACACACACACACACATATTGATAAATATGTACACCTATAATACTAATAACAGATTCTTCCTACATAGCATAAAAAATAAAAGGAAAATCCTTACACTAAACTCCATCTGCAGCCTGGCCAGGTCAGCATGGCTAGACACATGGGTCAAGGGTCGCAGAGCACGTGATAGGAAGCGCACAATGTGGCCAGCATTATGTGGACCCCCATAGGCCATGGCCTTGGTCTCTTGGCCCGAGGAGGAGCGGACATGCAGCACAATGGCTGGGAATGTGCGGATCTTGTAGCGTGCGCGGCACTCTGAGTTTGGGTGCCAGCAGTTGATCGCCGCGAAGTAAACCTGGGATGAATGGTATAGATGAGAGGGATAGTGATAGGAGTAATGGCACTAGTAGCAACAGTTACAGTAATGGTAACACTATTACTGCTACTGCTGCTGTTGTTACTACTGCTACTACTACTACTACTATTATTAATAATAATAATAATAATATAAAATGTTTGGAATGCAGTTTATATTAAACTCCTTTACATAAAAGAATAATAATATGTACACAAGATAACCACACAGTAAACATATGTCTGTCAAGAATAATGTACCTAAACAACATACCGGTATATAAATTGTTACCTAACATGATTATCATGATCAACATCAAAACATAACTGTTCTTCCTCCTTATCTCCCACTTTTTCCACTCTTAACCCGTACACCATACCATTTACAGAGTATTCTTTGCCCAGATCATACTATTTTTATCCCAGGGATGGCCTACTGTCTATGATGGTCTTGGGAATTTCTTCAAATAATTAAGCAGTTATAACACCATTAAAATCCTTTTGAAGCCAGCCTAGACATGCTAAGGTAGGTGTTATGAGAAAGCAGCTAATGCTTAGGTTCCACTAAGCTTGTTTTCAATAGTGTTGTGACATCATAACAATAGCCACCAAACATCTGAGACAATCAAACAGTGCTCAAAGGCTGACTTGCCTATTTCCTCATATAGCACATCTAAGCCTGTCAAACTGATAATAATCCAAACCTCGAGCCAGGTCATAGAGTCAAATGATGCCAGCTGAACAACGGCTCTCACCCTCTTTCTATATGCTCCTCTTTGCCCAATCCAAACCTCCCCACTTCCTTTCCTCTATCACTATCACTATCACTATCACTATCCTCTATCCTCTATCCTCTCTTACTCACCTGTTCATGATGGTATCTGGCCACTTTCTCAATCTCCCACCGGACCGCCTGGGATTCCCTGTCCCAAGGGGCATAGTACACCACCAAGGAGATGTCGGTGGCCAGCAGGCGCTCGGTCAGGGCCACAATATCCCCCGTGTGGAAGTCCGAGACCAGGGAGTGTCTCGGGAAGAAGGGCTGGGCGGCAGGGGTTGTCTGGACCAATGGACCTCTGCTTTGGTGTGAGGGAGTTGGTGGGGAAAAGGGAAAAAGGGCTGGTTAGATACTCTTAAGGAAGTGGCCTTTCTCTTCTTTGTCTGATACTTTCTTCCCTTTTCTTATCATCCTTTCTTCCTTTTTTTTTACTATTTGAAATATACTATGAAAATCATAAGGCTTTTCTACAAATACCACAAACGAAAGATATGCCCATCAATTCATTGATCTGCTTATGGAATTTTCCAAAGATATTGACATTAAATTAGTCTTTAAATTTACAACTGATTAACTCACTGGTCATTATTTCTGAGTATTTCTTTCTTTTTTCTCTCTTTTTTTGTATTATGAATATGATTTCAATTTTATAGGAAAATAAAGTTCATTAATATTTCAAATTTAAAGTATAACAAGATGATTTTCAAGGTGATAAAAGTGTGTGCTGCCCTGTACATATACATCTATAAAATGGAATGCAGCAACAGTAAGAGAAAAAAAAACAAATCTTCAGGCATTGCAATAAAAAAAAATATCTTTCTTATGCCACCTGCTTAAGAATCCAGGTGTGTTCTATAGCCTTTTATATATAAAATTATTTTACAAATACTCATCTATCTTATATATTAGGCACACATATAAGACATCTAAACAAACACAGTCAACCATTAAATATCAAAAAGCTAAGCTAAGCACGATTCAGCAATCTTAACAACATCAAATCACTATCATATTTTTTCTCCACCAATCCCAAAATCATTCCTTCACTAAAATTAAAACAGCACATAATAGCAAGGAAAAAAAATATATCATAATCCAACTACATCCAAGAGCTGTTTTTTAAGTTATCACTTATCATGATCATTATAAATACAAAGGTTCAAAAATGCAGTAAATATAATGCAACAGTCTTCTACCATATTAACTGAGCAAGTCTTCAGCCAACTAGATTACGTTATAAAACTAAAATCATTAAAGGAAACTAAAAGAAAATTTCAAAACATTGTATACTTTTAAAAGCAAACATCAATTGCCTTAAGGAATGGTCTTCCTTTTCGATGTAATCATTTATTTGCTTAAGGAATGACCTAGACTTTAACCCATAACCCTTGACCTAGGTCCAAAGTCTCTATTCTTTGATGTAAGGTATCTAAGGTTTTTAATTCCATTCAAAATATATCTTCTCAGAAGACTAAAGACCGGCTCACTCAAGAACAAAAAATATGCTCTTACACAAAAAGCTTTTAGGGCTACTGAAATTAAATACACAGAAACAATATCTATCACTGAACCACAAGCAAATGAAAAATACTACACTAAAATCCAACACTCAAAGTCACAGCAATGTAATACCACTACAAAAATTATTATACGTAATCAGGTACATCACATATCACAAAAAAACATGGGAAATAAAAGACTAATATTCTAAAATGAATATAAATACCATACACTACAGACTGAAAAACTCCTGAGCAATTCTATTTCCTCTTTGGACTACAGCACTGAGAGAAAGGAGGCGTCGCGTATGGCACTTTGCTTACCCTTCAGAGGTTATTGCCCATGAGCTGGGGTGGGGGGGGAAAATGGTAAATAATTGCATTATGGGATATTGCTAACAAGTAAATAGATACAGAAATATATCAACATGATCTCCAAACTCTTATTTACGCGTTTCACACACACGTATTTTACCCTCAATTATATCAAGACCCATTTTGAGGGGTAAGATCAATAAAGATTGCAACAAGGTCAAGTGGAAGCTGCAATTTTCCCTCAGAAGCATGAGTGAAGTTACACAGATCAAAGGAAGGCCTCAGGCATGGGTGGGATGTGCTCAGGACGCAATCATGTGACGAGCATCCCACATACCTTAACCTCCTCCCCCTCCCCCACTCTGAAGAAGCAGAATCTGACACAGCGAGAGATGAATGATGAAAAGTAGAGCTGGTTGGTGTATTGTGTATATACATGAAACTCTAATGCAGAATGAGAACAAAACCATAAATTTCTGTAGTTTGTGTTCCCTCAATGGCCTAGACCCACAAGCTGCCTGCATCCAACATGCCACATGAATATATCAACCTTTTTTCTTTGCTTATATCATACTTGCAATGACATAAATCATTTTCCATTTGTTTTTCAAAATTAAGACTATAACCCTTCTTTTCTATACATTAGGGGAGGGCAGCAAAAACCCATGAAAAAAATTTTGGTACTTTTCCACAGTTGCCACACATTACACATACATTTTGAAAATTCACATGCCAGAAGTTACTAGTGAACATCTGTCTCCATAAAGTATAGAGATATTACAGAGGAATCTAACCAAGCTCTACCCTTCCAGAATGAATGTGTTAGCTTTTTGTCTTTTACTGTGATTGCTTTATAAAGTTGTTCTTTACTTAGCCAACTAAATAATTTGCTAGTTTGTAATTCACAGTGTACATGCCAAAGATGAAAATGATTGAAGTCATCAATTATCAATGAATCATATACCTTGTTGGTGATGGGTGGCTACTACTGTAAAGTCACCAAAATTTTGCAAAGATTTCACAGGATTTTTGGCAACTGGACAATGAACCTTAAAGGTGTCCTCCAAATATAGTACATTACCAACCTGGTATGGTTTATTTTGGCTAGATACTGAAAAGTTGACCTGATTTAATGGATGAATACCTTGGCAATAGAAGCCAACCTCACCACATAAATAGCAGGCTAAGCCACGGGCCAAGTCTGTGGTGGGTTGGCCTTACTCTGAAGCAAAACTATGGTAATTTTCTAATAAACACCTGCATTCTTAAAACCATCAATTTTACGCTAAATGACCCATCACTGTCCACCAACCAAGTAGTAAAATAAAATAATAATAATATTAATAATAATAAAAATAATAAAAGAGCTGCATTACTAAATAAGCAAAATATGAACTTCCAAGACATGTCTACCTCTGTTTCTAATGGTTTCTCCAATACCTGTAAGAATACATTAATAATACCACTCTAGGTATGACCCGGCCCATCGGAGAGATACCTGGAGCAGCAGGGGTTCGAGACTGGTCAGCGAGGGCCGTTGTTCATCTGCATCAATGCAGCACTACATCATTCCATTTTTCACGAACAATAATCGAACCTCACTATTTCCCAGCAAAACCTTACGCTCTCCCCACCGTCCAGGTCCCATATCATCGCAACAGTTGCATAGCACCGATCAAAGCCCCTATAAAAGTGAGCCAGACACCTGAAGAACCCCGTGACACCTACTTCCATACATTTCAAGAAACAGACGCTTCCTAGAAAATTACCACAGTTCGCCCCGCCTGCCTCAGCCCCTACCCCCCTACCCCCCCGGCGACCCCCGAGGACTCACCTGCTCTGCACCGCCGCGAAGGCCACGAGCAGGACGCAGGACAGCTTGCAGGCCAGCATGACTCGGGCTCCGAGCACGCCCTTCGAGGCGCGCGACAGGGCCACCAGCGGCCAAAGACGTCCGCTTCTTCCTCCTCCTTCTCTCTCTTCCTCTTCCTCGTCGCCTCCTCCTCCTCCTCCTCCTCCTCCTCCTCCTCCTTCCTCTCTTCCTTCCTCCTCTTCCTCGTCCTCAACCTCGCCTCCTCCTCCTCCCTCTTCTTCTTCCTCTTCCTTCCCCGCTTCCTCCTCCTCCTCAGCCTCCTCTACCCCGGACATCCCAGAATCATCTTCTTGGACCTAAATAAATCACAGAATCATGTTATTTCGCCTAAAAATAAGATCGTTTTTTCCGTAAAAATGTCTCTCTTTTTCTCGTCTTGTGTTGTGTTGTGTAGTAAACAATAGACGGCGAAAGAAACTTAAATAGGATCTAGCGTTAAGAAAACAAAAGACTATCGCATAAGAAGTATCATTATCCTTATAAAGGGATTGAAGTGTATCTTAAAGCTCTCGGAATCTATAAATGTATGTGTCATGTCGTAAGTAATAGATGGTAAGAAAAGCAGCGATGTAAATAGGATCGACGGAGACAATAAAACAAAAGAGCATCGTAAATGGTAATTTTTAAAATCTTGATTATATCTATTGAGTCTCTGAATCTATATTGATGTGCGTTTTGTGGGTTTACGTCAAGGATGAATGGCCTTATACTTTTTCAATGGCCTATCATCATTTGACAGCTCGAACGCGAATGACAGATAAATTTGAATGTAAAGACGTGATAATGGACAATGATTATATTTTTTCCTCTCTCGGTCTGTCTGTTTCTGTTTCTGTTTCAGTCTCTCTCTGTTTCTCAGTCTCTGTCTTTGTCTCTCTCTGTCTGTCTCTGTCTCTTTCTGTCTGTCTCTCTCTCTCTCTCTCTCTCTCTCTTCTCTCTCTTCTCTCTCTCTCTCTCTCTCTCTCTCTCACACACACACACACACACACACACACACACACACACACACACACACACACACACACACACACATTCTCTCTCTCTCTCTCTCTCTCTCTCTCTCTCTCTCTCTCTCTCTCTCTCTCTCTCTCTCTCTCTCTCTCTCTCTCTCTCTCTCTCTCTCTCTCTCTCTCACACACACACACACACACACACACACACACACATTCTCTCTCTCTCTCTCTCTCTCTCTCTCTCTCTCTCTCTCTCTCTCTCTCTCTCTCTCTCTCTCTCTCTCTCTCTCTCTCACTCACTCACTCACTCTCTCTCTCTCTCTCTCTCTCTCTCTCTCTCTCTCTCTCTCTCTCTCTCTCTCTCTCTCGTGCATAATACACACACACACACACACACACACATACATATATATATATATATATATATATATATATATATATATATATATATATATATATATATATATATATATATACATACACAAATGTGTATGTGTGCGTCTCTCTCTCTGTTTATCTATCTATCTATCTATCTATCTATCTATATGTATATATTATCTATCTATACATACATATATATATATATATATATATATATATATATATATATATATATATATATATATATATATATATATATATATATAATATGTATATATATATATATATATATATATATATATATATATATATATATATATATATATATATATATATATATATATATAATATGTGTGTGTGAAACTCACTCTCTCTCTCTCTCTCTCTCTCTCTCTCTCTCTCTCTCTCTCTCTCTATATATATATATATATATATATATATATATATATATATATGTGTGTGTGTGTGTGTGTGTGTGTGTGTGTGTGTGTGTGTGTCTGTGTGTGTGTCTACAATATGATACAATCCTATCCTCGCTTTCTCTCTCCATCATCCTTTCATTTTCTTCTTCACACAATTTTCTGTCACATTCACACACACACACACACACATATACATACATATGCATGTGTGCATATATGTGTATGTATATTTATGTACACACACACACACACACACACACACACACATATATATATATATATATATATATATATATATATATATATATATATATATATATATATATATCCTCTCTCTCACTCCCTACTCTTCTCTCACCATATTCGATCACCTTCCTTTAAAAGCGCGGGGAAAAACACGCGCAGGCAAACAACCGACAAGATTAACTAAAGTAACGACAAACCCAGAGTCGCTTTCGGCATCTTGGATGTTATCAATTTTGTGAGTCTTATCACCTGATCAAGTATGGGGGGTGGGGGTGGGGGTGGGTAAGTGGAAGGGGGGGAGGGGGAGGGAGGGAGGTAGGGGATGGGGGACAGTGATGGAGGAGGGATAGTGAAGGAAGGAATTTACATTTATATTTAGTATCCCTCTCGTTCTTCATATTAATACGATTTAAATTTCTCATTACACATTCTCCAAAGTCTAGTTAAACATACCAAATAAATGTTGCAAGGGGTATATATGGCCGATTATATTTGGGGTATGGTGCGGGTAGAGGGGCGTGGGGGGAGGGAAGGGGAGGGAGAGAGAGAGGGAGAGGGGGAGGGAGAGGGAGAGGGGTAATTGGGGAGCGAATTTAGGGCAGGAAGAGAGAGAGAGAGAGAGAATGGCAAATGGGGTAGGGGTAGGGCAGGGAGTGAAAGGGGGGGAGGGTACAGGGGGTTGGAAGATGATAGGGGAGGTTGGGGGGGGGGAGGGGTTAGGAAATGGGGTATGGGATGTCGAAGGGAGGGGAGGGGAGGGGGGGAGGAGTCAATTTTATGGTCAGGCTCGGGCATGCCTCACTGGATTCATAATTCCTTTTGTTAATAATCTCTCCTTTTGAGTAAGTCGTATTTTATTAACAGTCGGCGTTGTTACTGGTGTTGCTAATAATTGTTGCAATTAGCATTATCGCAATATCACGTTGTTGTTACTGTTGCTATCTCTGTTGGAATGCACACTTTTTTTTCGAAATATAAAGCAACTTCAAATATACGATGCTATTTTGTCATTGTAATGGCCGTAACCTTGTCGTTATATCATTATTATATATATTAACACTATCGTAATAATTATCATTATTTTTCCTATCAGTGTTATCGTTATCATAAACAGTGTCATTATTATCAATATTATGAATGAAGTCAGTAGATGTAATATTTTTATCTCTATTATCGTTATTATTATCACTATCGTTATCATCATTAACATTAATGACAGTAGCAATATAAATGTTGATATAATCATGATGAGCATTGTCATTATCACCATTTTTCAACGCCAGCACTATCACCATCAGTGTCATAATCACTCTCACCATTAATGACTACTCGTCTCATCATCATATCCAGTTGTCATGTTCATTTTCTTTCATCTACGTTTTTTTATTTTTTTTTATTACGATTCTTTGAAAAAAAATATCAACACAGGAAGCTCTCTCAAGCTTTCTCTCACTATCGCTCTCTCTCTCTCTCTCTCTCTCTCTCTCTCTCTCTCTCTCTCTCTCTCTCCCTCTTCCTCTTCCTCTACCTTCTTGTTCTTCTTCACTTTTTCTCTCGCTCGCTCTCTTTCCTTATATTATAGAGAGAGAGAATGAGAGAGAGAGAGAGAGAGAGAGAGAGAGAGAGAGAGAGAGAGAGAGAGAGAGAGAGAGAGAGAGGGAAAGAGAGATTGAGAAAGAAGGAGGAGAGAAACAGAAAAACAAAACAAAACAAAAAAAGATAAATAGTAAATACAGACAAACTGATAAAAGAGAGAGAAAAAACAACACCAACCTCACCACGAAACTAGAAACGAATAAACTAATATGTGATATATATATATATATATTTTTTTTTTATTAATGACGACCACAAATTCAAAGGGCGACTTATAAACAGAAATCGTGACATTGCATTCATGGCCTCGATTGCTCCAATAACCTTCCAATATAGTTAAGAAACACACATACATACACGCACACACACACACACACACACACACACACACACACACACACACACACACACACACACACACACATATATATATATATATATATATATATATATATAT